ACATTTTCGTAATATATTTTTGTATTTATTCGATAAAACAAGCAGAACATTTAACAAAATTACTTATACAATTTTATAAAGGCTGCTAAAACGTGTCTAAAACTAGTTGAATGCTTTCCGTGGCTTTCTATACCATTTTCTTTTATAAATTAACCCCTATTTTAAAAGAACAGATAATGATTATAGCTACTATAGTACATTTGTAAATCAGTGTTATAGAAATAGAGTTGAGAATACTATAAACTGAACCATTGTTATCTTTTGCCATTAGGTGCCCGACTGGATATAGCGGTCAAAATTGTGATCAAGACACGGATGATTGTAGTGGAGATCCTTGTGAAAACGGTGCCACTTGTCAGGATGCGTTTAATGCCTTCAGTTGCATTTGTGCTGCAGGTATGTAAATTATTATAAATCTCATGACTGTTGTAAGTGAATGATCCAGTGAATGAAGAGTCGTGCCCTTTACAGGGAAATCTATATAAACTGTTTTCTAGTTATCAGAGAAATGCGGCTTTAAACATGATGTGTTTCTCTAACTTTAACTCTAGGATTTGAAGGGGAGATATGCGATGAAAACATCAACGAATGTGATGAGTTTCCGTGCCAGAACAATGCTACCTGTATTGACACGATTGGAAGCTACTCCTGCCAATGCATCGATGGATTTGACGGATTTTTTTGTGACAATAACATCGATGATTGTCAGGATACATGTCAAAATGGTGCGACATGTCACGATGGCCTTATGACATTTACCTGCGAATGCCTGCCAGCCTACGATGGTGTCTTATGCGACAAAGGTTTGTGGTTTTCCCATCAAATTGCTAGAATGTTAGCATTTATATAATACTAAAAAATCATTAATTATTACAATATGTTTTTTTTTCAGAGAAATCAGCTGATTTTGATTTATTCCTGACTGGAACAGACATGTCTATGTCCCTATCGACGCAGTACCAATGTATCAATGATTTTAGTGTGTCCCTGTGGGTGAGATTTGCTAATGCAGGCTCGACTGGTACCTTCTTCACAATCGCAGTATATGGAGGGTGAGTGTATTATGTGTCTTTATCATTACATCTTTGTCTAATCAATCGTCCGACGTGTTTAGATGATGGGACATTTATTTTTATGTTGTTATATAGGTATATTTTTCCAGCTTGTAACATATAACATGTTTCTTACAGCGAGAATCTAGCGAATGAAGTTCTGATTGTACTCGATCAAGACGTCACTGGGGTTAACGACGGCACCTGGCATCACGTGGCTCTGATTGTGTCTGAGGGCGCTGTGGCCATCTTTGTAGATGGTGCTCCAGTATCCTCACTTTCGTGGACGGATGTTTCGGATCAAGATATGTAAGTAGATTCGATTATTAGATAAATTATTAAAACATTTATGGATTACATGTATATTCTGTTATAGTTTTAAAACTGTCAGTTTATGTGTAGTGTTGTGAGAGAACTGTGGATGCAACCGCATAAACATGTATTGTTATGGTTACTGTTCTATTCTTTATCTTAGGTGCATCATTGTGCTAGGTCAAAGCTATGATGAAAACGGCGCACTCGATGAATATTTTGCCTTTAATGGCGACCTGACCCAGGTCAACGTGCACTCTCAAGTGTTATCCTTAGAAGACATCCAACTACTTGCATCGAATTGTTCTAATCCACTCGGCGATGTTATCTTGTGGGTTCAGATGGACCAAGATCTTACCGGAAATGTTCAAGTAGTGAGACCATCCCAATGCGGAGGAACGAGCTGTTCTATTGGTCACACAGGTTCCGATTGTAATACCGTTATAGGTAATTAGGAGATTCACACTTACGTTTCTTTACACTAATAGTATATTACGCTTGCGTTAAGTGACGCATTTTAATAATAATCATGACACATGCGAAAAGCATCTCAGTTTCACTAAAGTTTTTAATCAGCTTACCGAAAAGAATATTTCTCTTTATTCGGAACTTTATATTTAACAGTTATCTTGGTAATACTGACAACAAGTGATCATACTAATTAGCATTTATTTATTAAGTTTTTTAGTTTTAATATCAGGTCTTCGAACAAAGCCATGTTTCGTGTAAAGTACTTTTTATTGCATGTCTCCCACATGAAAGCACTGCCATTTTCAACAACTGTAGAAACAATCACACAAGTGACAACGCAGTAGAATATAGAATAAAAATACCCATTATGTTTCTACTACAAACCACGAATATGTTTGTTGTGAAGGTTAAGACATATAATACGAGAAACTTTAACCAAAATAGATGGGCCAATTGAGTAGGTTTACATGAACAAACTGAAAGATATGTAGCCTGTGGTTTTTCAGGTGTGAAAACGCTATGCTATGAAACATATACATTATAATATATATCTAAATAATTATCTTCCAGATAAAGTGCCTCCTGTCGTTATATCCTGTCCAAATACGACTAGAATAATTAACCCTGATAGTAGTCTCTCCGTTGGTGAATGGGAAGAACCGATTTTCACAGATGATGTCGGTGTGGTCCGTGTGGAACAGACTTTTGCCATAGGTAATTACGTAATCATAAGTTGCCGTATTAGTCATAATAGAATGATAGTTGGATGTGTAATCATCGATGAGGGCGCAACTCGCACAAAGTAGCTAAACGCCACAATAATTGTTTTTCTTTGTAGGTGACACGTTTTCTTGGGGTACATACACCATAGGATACGTTGCATATGACGCTGCCAACAACTCGGCCCAGTGCAATTTTCTTCTATATGTGCTTCGTGAGTATACTAATAGTTTTTGTTTTCGAAAATTGTAATCCGGTGTTATGACGTCACAGTCGCGCGTGGTAAGCACTTTGTATAAGACAATAGTTCATCTATATAATAAGTGTCCTGAATTGTTGTAGTGCCAAGACGCGGCCATAAACACATCGGGAATGTGCCTAAATGAGCAAACTGCAGTGAATTCTCATCCTAGTTTTTCTGAAGTGATTTGCGACTACGCATATTGCAAAAAGCCGCTGTGAATTCAGAAAACACATTGTAACATACTGTAAAATGACTAATTTTCACTGGGTTTAAATTTCACTGATTTACCATTTCAGGCATATTCAGTGGGTTTTAAATTCACGGTTTCGTCATTTAGATAATGTGTTCTATGCTAAATTTTACATATTCACTGTGTTTTAATTTAGCGCATTTTTCCAGTCAGCGAAATAAGCTAAATTAAAACCCAGTGAATAATTACCCCCTTTACAGTACTTGGACCAGATTTTTCTTACATGTAACAGTCAGAGCTTTAACAGTTTGTTTATATAAATGTCATTGTATTGTTTTCAGCTTTTGACTGTGAATATCCCGACGTACCAGTCAACGGACTACACGTGTGTTCACCGTTTGCTTCTGGGCATTTCTGTGTGATTGAATGTCTTCCCGGGAAACGGTTTGTGACTTTACCCCCGCCATACTACATTTGCGGCGCCGAGGGTACCTTTGATCCTCAAAACTCGGATGTGGCCTTCACTTTTCCAGGATGTGCAGGTAAATTGTGGTTAATCCTGTCAGTTCCTTGTACGTAACGTCTGCCTCTAAATATCTATAAATGCTCATTTTCATTTTCTGTTTTCTGTGCCGCTATTTTCTTCTTATTTGCTCAAAAACATAAAAATGTGTCAGAAATTGATTCAAGCTTTACCTTTACAGTAGATTTTCCGAACCACAGCATTATGACAAGAAATAACATTTATAAAAACGCCATTTTGCATTTCAAAGAAATAATTTCAACTGTCGCCACGTGGAATTAAAATGTGTTTGGTTTATCAAAAACAACTTCCAGATTTAATTTTCCGGTGTGTACTACTTGCGACCTCCCATTATGTCAATGGATAATGAACGAATTTTACTTGCAGCACCTGGAAGAGGCAACCAAGGCGTAAACTGCCAAATGAGAGGAAACTCAAACGCTGGCACTTGCAATCAGGGCATTATTGGACAACTCATTCAATCCTTCAAAGACACCATGAATTATCTGAACACGCTGTATGGTATATGTGGTGGAGAGTGTAATTTTGACGACCTCGTGATAGAGTGCGATTCAGCGAGGAGACGAAAACGACAGACAGGAGGGTCATTTGTTATTAATTATTCATTTACCAGCAACGCGTAAGTAATCTCTGCAAGTTTTAGAAAAATGGTTCGTCAATAAATTGTGAAATTCTCAATTCGCAATTCACGGTTATATTCTGATTTGCATTACAGTACCGACGTTGACCCTTCGCTTGTCATTGAGGTCGCTGTCAAAGATGGGAACTTCACAAGTGGTGGAATTACGATCGATTCGGATAGTCTTGTAGTGTCAACTATCGTGATATGTGAGAACGGAAGTGTTCTTGCCTACAATAATGATGCATGCGGTAAGCAATGTCTGGAGATTCAATTCAAAGCAGTAAAGCGCAAATACAAGGCCTTAGACAAAAAATGTTGGAGTGTTCGGGCATCTAAAGTCGTTTTAATCAAATAGTCTTTAGACGTAAATGGCCGCCAAAATCTCGTTGAGAGAAAAAGGGTAACGAGACTTGGTGTTGCTCCATTCTCGCCCGTCATCGCGTCCGCTGTTTCACCTACCACGTGATTCACTGAAATGGTAGATGCAACAATATAAGAGAATTAAACAATAATCAGTGTCAGTCTCGCAATTAACGAGATTTCGGTGATCATTTGCATTTAAGGTCAATTCAGAGCAATGATGCAAAGTGTTCACTATTCATGTATTATTTCTTCAGTGCAATGTCCCAGTGGTGAGTATCACGATATAGACTCTGACACGTGTCTGCCATGCGAAATGGGATACTATCAACCAGATGAAGGCCAGACAGAATGTTATAAGTGCCCTGATAATGACATAACTCATGGCAGAAGATCGATCGACGTATCCCAGTGTGTCGGTGAGTAATAAACTGCTGTCATACAAATGATAGGGATAGCTCCTTTATTGTGTCATTAAAACGAAAATAGTGCAAGTTGTGTGTAAACTTCCCCTTTTTATACGCCACGCATAGAATATGTTTAGTCCGTTTCTTCAGAAATGTATACCGGTCTGGTCAAATCAGTAGCTTGATCAAAATTTGGAGGGATCGAAGTTCACCTGCTATTATGAATTGAATTTTTAGCGACAATATATGTATTTACATTTATGTTGGTAATTTTACGACTAGAACACTAGAGATAATTGGCTTTTTCAGTTTTGAAAATAGTTAATTAACTAACTTAAAAAATGGTTCAAATTAAGATTAGATCATGTGAATATAATTTATGAACCAGTTTGTAAATGCTTGTTGAGTCAGAGAAATGATGAGCCAACTTAGTGAATAAGCTGTGCACTTCTATTACTGATTTCTCTACATTATGTTTTTTGTGTGCGATACGTTGGCATTTAATAATAAAGAAAAAGATTTCAAAATTTCAACATACATCTACGAAGAAATATATTATACATTGTATATCAATATGAATTGAGGTGTACTTACGTTTAGCGATTCATCAAAATATCACGCCTATTAATATCAAATATTAATATCAGATGCATCTTACATATAAAAGCCAAAATACTCGTAAAATTTAAATCTGACGATATAGTAGTGGTGGAAACCATCTTTTACAGTTTAATTTGTTTTTTATTTTTAGACTATTATATGTTGTTAAGCATATTATTAATTGTCAATTAGTATTTGCGTAGCGGTAAATTATTCCGGTGATGTGGCGAACAAAAAAAACTACCGTGACGATAGACTTAAACTTATTATATTCATTAGATATAAGAATATTGACAATATCCCTCATTATAATACACTGGAAGGTATTTCAGATATATAAAATAAATATAGAGAAATCAATTGTCATATTTCACCATGCTTTCCCAAATTCAGCCATGTTTTTGTTTGACATTTGTCTGTCAACGTCTGTGTCTGTTTTCGCCAGTCGCAGTCACAGTGGTCATTTTCAGCTGCAGTTAAATACATACAAGAACAGAATCTCCATACACATCATGAAATACTTACGCTGGGGTGTATCAGATTTGTTTTCAAATTTGCGAGTTAAACAGAGAAACCATTTTATATATTATCCTGTGACGGCAGTGTTTACCAATTAGGCATTGATAAACAAAATTATGAGCGCTAAACTTAAATTTTGTTATCCTTCAGGAAATAAATTCTTGTGATATTTTTCTGTTTCTTTTTAATTTGTTGGATAAGATATGTAGCTGGTGGAAAATTATATCTGGTCTAAAATTAACAAAAAAAAAACTCAAAAAAATGTTTCAGCGATATTATGTTATGACTATTCACAGGGTTAATTAAACTTTTGAGAGTACAAGACAAAAAAAACATATGCACTGTGAAGATGCATGGGAACGGTTTCACAGTCACGGTACACGAATTGCTTACCGAGTTCTGTTCTTTCACCCACAGCTCGATGCACTGCTGGACATTATTACGATAGCAGCGCATCGCAATGTGAACCGTGTAAAAGAGGTTACTGGCAAGACAAAGAGGGAAAGTTTGTATGCAATACATGCACAAAGGGGATGTTAACTGACGAAGAGGGCGCTACCAATGCTTCTCAGTGTCTTGGTAAGGAATAGTCTTCATCTAGATACGTCATCATTTCGTTTGTATATTTGCAATATCAGTTTTGTACAAAGTACAATAAACAAAGTCGATCATGGACAAATGCCCATGCCCTTTGATCGAATTAAAGCAACTGTCGCTATCGATGAAGTCAATACATCAACGACACAACGTCTATACTCAGTGACGTTCTGTGAAATGTCAGTACTTTCCTCTTTTCTTGTAGAGGTGTGTAAATCCGTTGGAATACAACTCGGCGTCAGTGGTGAATGTGAACCTTGCCAAAAAGGAACATACCGGTCAGACGTTGACCAACAAGTATCGTGTATAATGTGTCCTTTTGGTTTCACTACCGAAGAGTCTGGTGCCGACTCAATTGATCTGTGCAATGTTGGTAAGTGGTGGCTACAAAAATAGGCCATGATACTTTTTTTCATAACTATAACTTCCCGCCAAAACTTGTGGACAATTTTTGCATATTTTCTTTAATTTTTATTCGAATTCCATGTTATTTTCAACCTAACATTTTAACAATTACGGTGTACGGTGTTTATATATTTTGATCGAAGATTTTTTTTATCTGTTTGTGGATTCAAACATATATTTGAATAAGATGTCTTAGCGGAAGTTAATCTTGGGAAACTGACATGATTTATGCTTATAATCGTTTTTTTTTTAGCTGACTGCAATGTAGGTTGGTATTTGAATAACGGTGTCTGTGAGAAGTGTCCGCTAGGAACCTACAATCCACTTCGCCATCAAGATAGATGTCAGTCGTGTCCTGAATATTACACCACCAACACTGAGGGCGCTTTATTTGAATCGGAATGCGTTGGTGAGTAAAACAACCACAACGATCACCTCCAAGACGTTTGAGTTCTTGCCGTAGTGTAATCGTATTTAGGTAATTGTTTTCGAGTATCAATGTTCTATTTATAAATTAGAAAAGCGACGTTTATATTCACGTTAGATTGTGATTACCTCTGTAGATGCCCACGAATGCCGACTTGGTACAGACGATTGCAGTGAGAACGCTGTCTGCAGGAACACCGTACCTGGGTACACGTGTACATGCCTGCCTGGCTATATGGGCGACGGCAAAGACTGCCTAGGTGAGGTTTTGTCAAGATTTTAATTTACTAGTAGAGAGGTGTTATAACTACCAATACAATAACTGTAACGTTGCTGGTATCAAAGTGTGTGCTCATTCACGATTTGCTCACACGTCTGGGTACTTTGCAAGTTGTGGTAAATCCAAGTAAATTTCGCCGATATGGTTTTCTGTTGAAGATTATACAACAATTTTATCACATGATTCCATGTTTCGATACTAAGTATGAGTTTGTTTTCGTAATGCAGACGTTTGTTTTGACTACTGCTTTAATGATGGTTTGTGCGAAAAGGATTCATATGGAAACGCAAGCTGTAACTGTAAACGTGGCTTTAAGGGAGATAGATGTGAAGTGAAGATGGGTTCAACGTCCCCAGGTTTGTGTATATTTAGCCATATACAAGAGCAGCAATACTATCTTAAGTTATCATAGTGTATTACACATTGTCACTGTGTGTCAATGCTTTTAATTATATCGAATAATTAATATGTCAATTAATTTATGTGATAAATTTTAGTTATAAGTTAATTCAACTCTCTTGCCGTGAGTGATTAGTAAATATCCTGTTAAATGACGCCTCAAGTGACTTTTGTCTTCCATCATTATAGTGGATAAAAGGAAAGACGTTTGCTCTGTTCTTAGGGTAATCGCCTTTCAATAACAACATATTGTTTCGGGGAATGTTTATATTCTAAATTACAAACGACTACACAAGAAAATAAAGTTGTTTTGTTCACCAATATTGATTTCACCTCTCTATGTCACTGTGGCGTCACAAAAGGTGCGTCATCGCTTGAAGGCAGGAAAGGCGTAGCTTTATGGTGATTACTACGTGATTAGGCAAACAGGCAATTGCGTATTTGTCTGCCTTTCCACACCATGTACGACTTAACAATGCAATGCTTTATCCTCTCCAGGAATTTCTGACGGTCAGACTGCTATCGTTATCGGCGCTGTTGCAGGAGGTGTTGCAGCGATCCTTGTTTTAGGCGTTATTATTCTTCTCATTTATAAGAGGTCAGTATAATTTAACAGAGCCATAGTTGTCGTGCCTCTTGCTGGATGTGGGTGTCATGCGATGAATACAATATGCGCACAATACATTGTTTATTTACATGAGCTCGCTGCTTCATAACTGGGACGATTTTCGGAAACATATATAAGGGAGGGTGTTCGTATTATTAGTCTGCGACAGGTTTTTGATTTTCTTCGTAACAGGAGTCGCAACAAGTGTCGGATCATTTGAATGAATTAGATGATAGTTAGATATCTGAGAATTCAACCCTCAAGATCATATGTTTTTTTTTATTAATGTTATTTTGCTGTTTAGGTTCTCTTTATCGTCCAAGGAGCATCCGGGCTGGGAGACGCAAGAAGCGACAATGGATTGGGTGTTTGACGACATCGAAGATAACGGAGATGTGATAGATAAGTTAAAGAAAGAAGAGGAATCTTTTAATGAGATATTTCACTACAACCCAATGTACAGTGAGAGTGCCGGTGGCAGCAGTGTTGATATCACACATAAGTCTGGCTCTATGAGGACTTTTAAGTCACAGGATGAAAGTGTACCAGACAATGATGCATACTTTTAATATTAAAAATGAGGTATGTTTTGCCACATCCGAGTTTTATATCATTCTACGAGTAATGTTTCACGTCGTGCTAAATTGTCACGCAAGATTATACATTGTTACGCGAGATTATCCATTGTCACGTGAGTTGTGACGACATTGTTTGTGTGTTCTGTCATCAAGATTGTTCGTTTCTCCACAAGTGTTTAGTTCCTGGCCATAGCTTAACCCAACAAACCATACCCTCTCTTTATGAGTGTACATTTCAACATCGTGTTTCGTTGTCATTTTCAGGTGGCCTAAAGGAACTGCTTGAATACAGACTATGTGATGTTGTATATATGTCGCGTTGTTTGACACATCATTATCACGTGATGAAGTAGTAGAAATGCAAATGTTGATAAGAATTTACATCAAACGATTGTTTTATTACGCAATATTTTATCTTAGCATATTCCAACTAACAAGTAGTCCATCTCGCTGTGGAAACCAACAGGTTTGTTTTTTAAACAAACGAGTATGTTTTATGGTAACTATTCTGCAGTTATCATATTATAAAATTGTAAACTAGTCATTTGTATTAAGCTCCAATAAAATTAACTATCAATGTTTTTTTCATTATTATTATTATTTTCAAAATTGATACCGTGAATTCATTTTTTTGATTTTTAATGGGTTTATAACCGTTGCAATTATTTAATCGAAATTGTCTCACAGTACTTATTTTGAATTCCGAGTCCGAAGAATAGATTCGATGTGGTAGTCACATTTGGGGTAATTAATCCAAGAATACTGTGGGGGATTGGGATAACTCAGGTGTATTTATTTATGCGTTTAAATCATTTATAAGACTTGTATATCTATAATGTATATTTTTATATCGTGTCGGGCGAATACAGGCTCCTGTTCTATTAGCATTACATTTAAAACATTTGAACTGCGCCCTCTACGGATTACTAAGGCCTCACAGAGGGCGCTATTGTAATAGCGTTTTTTGTGCATCATGTCTGTACTTGAAAACAACCCTATTATCTTGACAGTTATGTAAAGCAGTGAATATCTGGTTGTAACTGGTTCTATTTTTCACTTTTAGCCATAAACAATCGTGTACATAGTTCAGCGTCACCAGTGTTCATAGGTTATACGAAATTCAGTATTTTTGGTTAATGAATAGTCGGGTTTTTAGGCGACCACATAAATCCATAATAATCAATATAGTCATAATTATTCATCATTTTCGAGGACTCGATGTATAAATAGGCACACCAACGTAAAATTAAATAATCTGTCCGTCCATTTCGATTGTTAAAAGTTTAATTGCGAAGTTAGAGTGTCCTCTTATTTTTTCTGTAAATTTGTTTCTGGTATGTAAGTGACACTCTGTTTTAGTAAAGTTCCTTCACGTATCAACGTGTCAGATCTCAATCATGATTTTACCACTTAGCACAGTTGTGACCTCTCAGACACTGTGAAATGTATTTGCATTCCATAGTTTCAGTGCCGCGGTGAGTGTGCCTGTTTTAAGAACGATATATTAACTTCTTTTACGTGGGATGTTGTTCTATGCTGTAATTATTTTAACAAAAGTTTAGAATACAATACAATAAAATAAAATAAATGTGTATAAATTAGCCGCTTTGTTGTTGCTGTTGTTGCTGCTGTTGTTGTTGTGTTATTGTATTTTATGTTGGTGAAATCTAAATGTATGCTAAATACATGATGCTGTGTGCTGATGACGAGTACCTGTCCACAATCATACAAGACCTGTCGAAAAAGGAAACAGCGGTGCCATTTTCCCCATTAATGTCAGGTTTGAGGGCGCACTCCATCGACCAAAGCTTTAAAGCGTACCGCAAGAAATTAACTTTAAATTAATATAATACATCATATCTCAGTTTTTATTGAATACAAATATTTAAAATGTAATAATGTACCTGGACATTCTCGCTGATATAGCAGGCCTAATATAACAAAGGATAGTTGAACTTAATAATAATTGAAATAAATTCCCACAATATGTAAGTAGTTTAGCATGGGATTCAATGTAATGATTATGTTTGATGACGTAATATAGAAGTTCGGCAATCTGTAAATACAAAACAGCCGCTTACTGACCGCAGCATTATTAACCTCGTCAAATACCATTCCCCGAACAACGATGTCAACGCGCAAACCAAATTGGCCATATCTATGTCTGCGCAATGCTACTTTGTTGTACGAGGGAGTAAAACTAGTCAATGAAACAGCTGATTGTAACTTCCGAATTGACGAGGAGACCCGCCTTCTTTTTTTTATTATGTACGACTATCAGTCTGCGGTCAGTTCAAGTTGTTGACATACTAGATGATTGATGTGCTATTCAAGTGTTTTGATGTGTTTCAGTGGTTTGTTGGTCCGCTGCCAGAGAGATGCGATGCGACCAATCCAGGGTTCCTTTATTAACGACTGAGACCAGGCCCAATTTCTAGAAAGTTGACAATTATATTACTTAATAAGTGTATTGACATTGCGCCTATTAGCTATGCATTTTGCTTCTCACCCTCTCTCAATTTACGAGTATCTTTTTTTCTTCTTTTTTTGTATTTTAACGATATACGCTAAATTCAAAGCTAACTCTAAATGTCAACATCGCGATACATAAAATGCCTTAGTGCGGCGCTATTTTGAGCACAAATTGCCCTCCTAGTAAATTGAATGAATAACCATAATTTATGTTATGCTATCGCCATCAAATGCAAATGCAAATCGTCGGTAAAAAAATCACGTGTAGTTGACAATAACAAGTTTTGAAAGATACCGTACTTGACCGTCAACTTTTTGAACTTGTATATGTGACGCGACGTTCTCATAACGCCGCATGTGACACGACGTTCTTTTACTGTCGCGATGTTTAAAAAAAAATACTCATGTTTCGGGAGAAGTTGTTCTCCTAACGTATTAATGTCATAATGTTTCTATGCAATTCTGTTGTCATTTTTTCGACGAAACATACAACCTGTATTTTCAAGAAAAACAACCTTGAATACAAGTATGAACCGGCGAACTATGTCACGTGATACATTTGCTTATTAACACAACCAGTGACGATGAGAAAAAAATACATTTGCCAATATCTGATAAGGTAACCGGTCCAACATGTGTTTTTAGGCATTTCCAGGTACATAATTAAAACATGCATGTGATAAGGACTACATAAACATAAACTGCAAGTTATAAATCACACTGTAGTAAACTCCCGGATTAAATAGAGTGACTTGGAGCGGTTGGTGATGTTGTAACTAAAATTGGTTTACATTGCTGACTTCAAACTGGGTGAATTGGAATTCGTGAACGTTGAAGTAGCAGGCAACATCGAATACTCGCGCATGTTTCCCGCGAAGAAGATATCACTGACCACGAGATGCATTGATTTACCGATGGCTTATCAGAACATCCGCATACAATACCTAAAATCATGTTATTGCGATCAGAATTGAAATCACATTTCACATCTAAAAAGAACTCTTTACAGTGTATTGATATATTCGTTCCTGGCTTACAGTTATCGAAAACAGCGTAATAAAATATAATGGCCATGATGTGACGGTTGAGTGACCCACTAACTGTATTTGTGCCCCGTTATCGTGGGTCATCTGAAGCTTAACCTCTTTATACTCGAAACGGCGTGAGTAACCTGTAAACAAGGGCGCGCTCTCGTCGTGACAGGCAAATAGGTCAGCTAGACAATGGGTATAGTTAATATCATGCTTAAACCTCATGTACCGATGATGTATATTGAGTTCAGAGTCGACAACATTGTTTGTTCCATTTTTAGTGGTGACGACACGCTGGAATAAACGCCCGGCTACTTATTTTTATACGCTGATTTCTGTCACGTGAACTTTTTAAACCTAATTTTTAGTTCCCGCGGTTGAACAAATATAAGTACATGTAACGTCAAATCTGAATAACCGTTGCTTTCACAGATTCAATAATTCAATCACGATAATTTACCCGCAGCCAGGACTAGCAGTAACATGTTTTACAAGCCTCAGGGCACCTGTCTGGTGAAGGTAGGGAATGCGAGTCATTCGTAAATCAAAATGATTTTTAAATAAAAAAAAAGTGCCTCCTCTTTTTCGACAAAACGCGGAAAAAATCAAAACACCCTTATTTAAGATAGACATCAGAAACGTGCGCTGTCTTCTCGTTCTTTCGAATGTCACGGTGCATTTGGTGTGATTGGTTTAGGTAAAAGTTCCAAAAACAACAAGGTCTTCCTCTGTCAAAACACTTTTGTGTTGTCTTGTCCCCGTGTTCGACCAATTAGTAGTTGTCAGTTCTATAAAAAGTATCCCCTTTCTTGTTTTTTTTTTTTTTGCGGACATGCGAACTTCGAAAAGCCTATACCCCTTTGTCTGCGAAATTCAGAATGCACCTGCCCCATCCCCTGCGACCAGCCAAATGCCCTGAACCCGGATTCATAACATATAACTTGTTTAGAGACTCTGTGTCATTTTTACTGGCAAACGATATAACGATATGTAGCGGGCCGATGGTAAGAGTGGACACCGCATTGCAATGTCGTTCAGTGTACATATTGCTTCACCGATAGCAATGTTGTTTGGTAACTTAAGGCATATGGTAATGATTCTCGTCCCAATTGAAAAAGGTTGCCAGTGGCGACACGGTTTCAATTTTGTCGTGTTAAGATTATTCAATGCCACAACAACAATAAAATGTTGAATCACTTAAATGATTATTAAATAATGTTTCGAGTACATGCATTTAACGTGTATTCGGATCTCCTCATGAAACAGAAAATAAACATGTTCCCAATCTACCGTGTGTGGCGCAATTCAATGGTTCGCGAAATTGAAAACAAAAATACGACGTTGAGAAGTAAAAGATTTTGATTTTTGTTTATTGTGTGTTAGAGTCATTTCGATTGTCTGAAACATATCTATATCGTTTTTACTAGAGTGTAGTATCCCCTTATGATATGACGCAGTGCGCCAGTATTTTTAATAACAAGATATTCA